ATTTATGAAAAGCATTTTCAAAGTGGATCTTTGAACCTGCTGGTCTGCATGATTTCTCCCGTGCCATTTTTGATCCATTGTATAAATAGAAATTTTGGCACGTGCACAACATTATAAACTGCATAATTGTTTTTATTAGAATTCTGTGAGTTTGGAGGTACCTGTTCTTTAATTACACTTGGAAATTGTCCAGGAAAACTCTTCTAAAATGTACTGCTTGCAAATCCATAGTCGGGCCACCCACAATGACAGCTTTTATTTTTCTTCTATTAGTGATGGACATTTTCATTTAATTCTGGTGTGGGTGTGTGACAAAGCCCCCGTGTTCTGAACTGCAGCTTCCCCCTGTTCACTTTTCAGCCACAGAGTGTGTTGGGATGCCATGGCAGCAACTTTTGACATTTGGATTGAAGCCAGGTAAGCACAATTTGCAGAGTTTTTATGTTGTCTTTCTTGCTGCCTTGGTCTCCCCTCCCCCCTCTAAAAATTGCTGGTGACACTGGAAGTGCAAGTCAGTTAATCTTGTCGAAAATCTAAGCATTAGCCTACAGCACTGACTGCAAGAGAAATGCAGAACATTGCTCTGGGAAGTTTCTGCATGTCAGCCGTAAGCATCCAGCGTGGAGGTGGGTTTAGTTCCGCTCCTGAGCCCAAATCTCTGGTGTGGCAGGACAGAGCAAGTACAATAGGAGCAAGTCAGCAGGATAGCTGGAACTCCGTGCTCCATGCCAGAAAGTAGGATGTCCAGCTAGCACAAGTAAATGTGTAGAACTAATCAAATTAGGATGGACATGCTGTGCAACACAGAGAAATGCATGTAAGCAGAAAATTGTGTTTAATATTTGTAATCAAAAGCATTTCTTTGGGACTATAACAGCCCAGTGCTACGTGCAAATTGGGTGAGGAAAAAATGTAAACATTGTTTCTTTGATTTCATTGGGACTTAGGTGCAGGAGGAATGCTGGATCAAGCTCCTTTTCCAGTGGCGGTGATTAAAAAGCTATGTGAAATGAACTTAGGGACTTATTGACAGAAAATATTACTGTAAATGGTGGTGAAAACCTATTCCACAGAGATTACTCTTTATTGCTTGGAGTTTGCCAGAATTTATAGGATGCAATCTGAAGACTGTGTTTAAAGACCATTTGAGGAAATAACTTCAGTCCTCACACCGTGTTTTGAAGCTTCTGCGGAAAGCAGAATTTAATACAGAAACTGGAGAGATGGTGGAATTTTATTCTGTGAACTTTCAGGCCCTTAAGGAACATGAATTAATGGAGGAACCACACCACGTCCAGCAGTAGATGTTTTTGTTACTTATACAGTTTCCATGTCAGCTGAAATATAGTTACCTATAAACAGAATAACCAGCGACGCTGTGTAGCCCATGCCATGTGTCACTGAAGAATGCAATTAACCATCATGCAAAAGCAACTTTATTACAGTAGCTTATATTGTAAGCTATATACTGGCTAGAAATGCTGAAGCGTGTCTTGCATGTGCTTTTGGGTGTATGCTAATCTGGCATTTCCCATTCCTGAGAATATTGTGGCCAGCTTCAAATTTCACGGAAGTAAACAAAGAAGGATTTGTTGTTTCTTTTCATTAGGATAGCTTTTAAAATGTGGGGAGAGAGGAGAGGATATGGTATAGGAGTAGCTGTGCTGTTAGCAGGCACTGTCTATGCTTTACAAATGTGGTTTGTGGAGGTAAGACCAACTAAGGTAAGAGCAGTGTGTGCAACCTTCCTTCTGCATGGGGATCGTCCCAGCAGGAAGGACTGCAGCAGCCTGTCTCCTCAGAGTCTGTGAGCCAGCCAAGCAGAGAATCAGTGGCCACTTGTGCCATCTGGAGAGGTTTGTCCTCTTCTTTAACTGCATGGTGCTCTGTGAGTTTAGGCAACACGCAGACAGCCATGCTGGTTTTGTACCAGTTGGTTACATCCTGCCACTACATGTAATCTGTATGAACACTTCTACAAATTATGAACTCACACATGTTTTGCTTGACTAGAAGATCTGGAAGATTTTTTTTAACCTTGCTACAAGTGAGTAATAATTGCTGAACTGTGTAGATGAAGTATATAAATTCACAAATTGCCTTGGGATTATTGAATGAATAATACAACAAGAAAGGAAAAACTTAAATGTTATGGTATGCATGGAGCCTAACCAAGTAATTGCACTTTGAAGACTACTCAGCTTGGGACAAAGATGAACTTGACAGTCTTGAAAACTACCAGCTCTTTCTAAAGAGGATCCTTTTCAATTGCAAAGGTGTTTTCATGAAGACTTTTCCACAAGGAGTTTAGCCCATCATGTGATCAGTCAGCACCAAAGCCTGCTGAGAGTGAAACATCTTCATGAAGATCAGCACAGAGAGAGCATCAAGATTAACCTGGATGTATTGAACAACCCAACAAGTATGTTCCCTGGTAAGGAACAGTCACAGAAATGGTCAAGGAGGAATGGAGTTGCAGAAAGTAAATGCAGAGGTAGCAAGAAACTATTTTTGCCCTGATTTTGCTATTCTTACTCACTCAATACAATGTGACTAAAGTACCTGATATAAATAAGCCTACACTGCTGCTTTTTCTCACTGGAAGTACTCTGTTCCCAGCTGTCAATCATATATGATTGAAATCTGATACACATTATTCAGATTAATTTCTAATACAAATGTATCTAGACAAATAATCAAGGACAGGGACTTTTCATTTCCTTGTGTTCACTGGTAACAGAAGAGTTTCTCATGTAGATAGAAGAGAATTTCAGCAGGTGGATACAAACAAGTACACTAAAAATGTGACAGAACTGATTAGCATGAAAAAATTTTAGGGGAATGGAATTCATCCATTCCCCTAATCCAATAGGGAAGGAATACATCCTAGGTGCTTCCCTGAGATGGGAAGTGCTAGGGAGTGAGAGAGAAAGCCAACCCTCTGACACAACGTTGTTTACCACACTGTGGAGCTTTATTTCGCTAATGGTTTGCATGGTAACAATGTTTGCACATGGTAAGGAGCCGCCTGCAGGATTCTCTGATGTTTATGACCATCTCTGCTGGGGTCATGATTGACTCAGAGAGCAAAGTATGATGCTGTCTGAGCATGCTAACTGATCAGTGATGCTGCCTACAGGCCAAGGAAGGTTGGGGTCCCCTGCCTGATGCCAACTCAAAGTTAGACACGTGTCATTTGTAGTCATGCAAAACAGTATCGCTTTTTTTCTTTTCTTCTTTGATCGTTCTCAGAAACTACAAATCCCTGGGGTGAAGTCTTAATTCCACAGAAATCAAGAGCAGGACTCTCTTCTAGGGAGTGCTAGGCTTGTGATGAAAGTTTTGTTGTTTCCTTTTTAAACAATTCTTGTAATTGCTATAGGTTTGTATACTTATTTCCTTCCCTTTCCAGCAAATAAAATGTCAGTTTTTCCAGTCAGATAGTCTACTGAAAACAGTTAGGTCTGTCTGTTCAGAGTGTTGAAGGCTGATAATAAAATTATAGCTCCTGTGGTTTTATTCTTTTCTCCTATTGTCTCCTATGCAGAGCACATTTTACGTGCTTTGTGACTGTTGTAAACTTCTAGCCAGCTGTTCCTTCTGAATATACTCTGTGACAGGTGAGAGGTGCGCTGTTACAAAAAGGTCTTGAAACTTTACCGTGATGTATTCAGCAAGGTGATAATGTAAAACCACTGGGAAATAGAGGTGAAGTTCCACACCTATGATGTTTTTTTAAGGTTTAGGGACAGAAATGCTTTGGAAGGGAAAGCATTTCTGATCTGCGTGAGGCACTGCCCCCCAGCAACCACCAGACAGCCCAGGGGAAGGAGGCGGATGGAGCTGGCCCCCAGTTCACCCCACCCCGTGCTGTGCTGCATCCTGAGCCAAGTGGAGCTGCATTCTGAGCCAAGTGGGCACCTGGGGGTGACACAGCCACTGCCTGTTTGCATGGTGTGACACCAGGAAGGGGGAGATTCTGAGTGAGATTGCATTGAGATAGATACAGGAAAACTCTCTGGCACAAAAGGTAGATCGTGAGGTGAGGGACACTTCTCTATGTGCAGCCAAAACCATCAGAAACAAGTTCTGTATTGTGTGCTAACCTGGGTCTGTCCCATTAACTCCACTACTTAAGTTTCCTTCCAGATTATTTAGACCTTTCATCCTTAACTGACATTTTCCGTAGAAGACAAACTGTAACGTGGACTGGATGTGTCAAGCCCAGGGCCTGCTGCTGCTTTTGGCTTAGTACCTGTAAGCCACTGCACAAAGCCAGCTCCCCTACTAACATCAGTGTTCCGTGTTCAGTAACAGGTCTTGGCTATCACAAATATGTTTTCTCCACGGGCAATTTAATCTTTGGTTTTGTGTGTTTCCTCTGAAAATAATAGAAAATAAGAGCATATTCTCTCCGAACGAACGGCACTTCGGAGCTGGATGGCTCGCGCTGGACTCTTCTCCTTTTCCCCAATTCCCTTCTCCCCATATCATCACCCGCTTGTCCGTCTGATGAAGCCCTGCGTCTCAGCTCTCCATTCTCGCCCCCAGTTGCGCTCGTCCCGCCGGCGCAGGTGTGCGGCACCGCCGTTCCCCCTCAGCCCTGCCCTTCCTCGCTCCCGGACGTCGCAGGAGCCGCCTCCGTCTCCCCCTCGCCCAGGTGCCTCCCCCCGCACCCCCCAGCCCAGCCCCGGCCCCCAGTCCCCCGGCCCGGCCCGGCCCCGCCGCCTCCCTATTGGTCCCGCCCGCTCCGCTCCGCGGCGCCCCCCGGGCGGCGACCGCTCCGAGACGCGGCGCCGGAGGCAGCGCTGCCCCGCGGCGGCGGTGGCGGAGGAGGCTTAAAGCGTGCGCGCCGTTGGGCGGCGAGGGCGCGCTTACCTGGGCGCCGCTCCATGGGCTCCGCCGTCGCGCACGGCGGGGGCGCGGCGCTGCGAGGCGGCAGCCGGAGCTGCTGCGGGGCAGAGCCCAGGTGACCATGCGGGGGATCCGGGCTCGGCCGCCGCGCGCTTCGGGGAGCAGGTAGCACGCCAGGTGCACGGCGGAACATGGACTGTCTCCTGCTGGTCGTCTGGACTTTACCTGCCGCGATTCTCAGCGGCAGCTCCATGCAGTTCCCGACCTTCCTGTGGCTTGGAAACGCTGTAAAGGCAGGTCGAGAGCACTTTCTTTTGCAATCGCCTAGTGTACTTGCACAGCAGGTTACTGCACAGTTTCTGATGCCTTGTCTTTCTGCCTTCCCTTGTCAAGTGAATCTCGCCCAATACTTCTTTTCTCTCTCTCTCTCTCTTTTTTTTTTTCTCTTGCAGACCCTTCAGCTGTGTTGCCTCTGTTGCATGTCTCATGCAGCAAGTTTAACCAGTGACAGCATCAGTAGCAGTGAATTAAACCATGGTTTGTATTGCTCTTTCTGTATCTATGCATATGAACATTTGTGTAGATGCTTTTTTCTTGGTAGACTGAGCAGTTAAAGTGAAGAAGCTTCAGCGTTTGGGGAGCATAAAGTGAAAGTGAGTTGGCTTCTGTAAAACAGCTAACTCTGGGCAAAGATTGACTTGATCAGCTATGTGTGCAAAGACTACAAGGAATGATGTCTACAGGCAAAGAGGATGAATAAATGAGATGGTAAATACATCCATATATACATATGCAGTTAGAAAGATGAATGTGTATGTAGCCACAACATCAAAACCTCATATGTTTGTTATGGAAGCAAGGAGACAAAAGTAGTAAAAAGATTTGGGTGGGACAGCGGAAGTGGCACGCTGCAGGATAAGGGAGAGCAAACCTGGAGAGAAAAGGCTGTGTGATGAGAGCCCTGTTTGTTCCCAGGCTGCAGAGACTAGCACTTAGATGCTGATGACTTTGGGAAGGTTGAAGTGCAGTATGTGCTTTTTATTGGATGAGTGGGGAAACAAAGTACAATGGAGAACCATACCAGGGTGCAGGAAGGAAAATCCTCTTGCACCCATTGCCTGTTCACCAGGGGATTCCCTCACTCCAGCAGCTGCTTGCATTTTTTTGGCCACTAGCCTGCTTAGCGTTCTGATTTCTGATGCTGATTAATGCTACTCAAGGAAAGCAAAAGCTCTTGATGCACTGTTTCCACTAAAGAGAAACAGCCTATCACTGCTTATGTGTTCAGCTTAGTGTGTACCCAATAAAATCTACTCAGGCCAGGAAATTGTATCTGAAACATCTTTAACAAGATAAGAAGGTTTTTTCTTCTTTTGTAATGGTGTTATTTCAATTGAGGGAGAGGAGTGAGTTGTCTAACTGTCAAATGCACAGGCATCTTTAAGGGTGCACAGAGATACAACTCAACAGCTCAGTGGGGCTGGGAAGCAGTTTATTCAGCATACTTACTCACAGCACTGGGATTCGGCGCTAGTTCAGCAAATGACAAAAATTCAGAGCCTGTATCCAGGCTCTCTGTATGGACAGATCAAGAGCAGTGGTGATGGAATTCAGGCTAGGCACTTGCTTGTGAAGCTAGCTGAATCAGAGCCTCTGTTTTTTCCTTTCATAGTTTACTACAAGTAGATCTCAGCTAAGTTTTGTAATTTTTCGTGTATTTTATCCAAAACAATAAATTTCTTTGACATGCAATTAGCAATGGCTGACTAAAGGTTATTAGGTAGCATGTAATCTCTTTCTTCTGAAGGTCAGTTACAATTTGAAACCCAGTCTAATCAAGTCACTACAAAGAGATGAGGTCTCACTCAGTTAAGGCATTAATAAATTAATCCTTTAATCCATTTGAACAAGTGGTACAGTTCTACAAAGTCCCAGTCATGGTTTCCCCTACAGTGATACAATATTTGCTGCATTCTTAGGGACCAAAAAAAAACCAAAAAAAAACCTCAAACCAAAGCAGCCTTCACATTTGACAGCAATTAATACAGGGGGAGGGGAAAATCTACAGATCTGCTGGTGATGACAAATGTCTTCAGAAGAGTGATTGTGGGAATGTTCACAGCTATGCTACTTAGTCTGTACCTCTCAGTGGGGCAGAAAGGAAACAAACACTGTTTGAGAGGCTGTGTGACTTACAGGGTGAATACATGCAGCCAAGCCTATATACACATAGCCTGTGGAGCTTTCAGGCTATTCCCTGAATGGGGGAATTCTTCATACCATAACAAAAGCCTGCTGCTTGCTGTGTTAGAATGACACCGTATTTGCTGGATGCTAAAGCTGATGGCTAACTTTATCGTTACAGATTATGTCTTTGTGACACCCGTCAAAGTGGATGCCAGTGGATCATACATTTCACACAATGTTTTGCACAGTACTAGGAAAAAGAGATCAACTCACAGTTCAAGGAGTTCCTTGCACTACAAATTTTCAGCATTTGGACAGGAGCTTCACTTAGAACTTAAGCCTTCAACCATTTTAAGCAACAGTTTTGTTGTCCAGGTACTTGGGAAAGATGGAGTCTCAAATTCTCAGGAACATGAAATTGAGCAGTGTTTCTACCAGGGATTTATAAGGAACGATAGTACCTCGTCAGTAGCAATATCTACATGTGTAGGCTTGGTAAGTGTCTCTTTCAAACAAATCAGTACTCAAAACTATTTTCATACGTGGAACCATGGTTGTTTTGGCAAAGATCTTTATGTACCATCTGCCATTTGGTGATTTTCTTAATACCACTGGTTGCTATTGCATTTAACAGAAGAGGTATAGGTATAGTTAATTAACTGTATCGCACCTTTAAGGATCTTTCAGGAAAAAAGCAGAAGACTGCTAGGCCTAGTAACTATCCCATAGAAGTTTTCGTTTGTTGTAGTTTGTGATAGTTTCTACCTGTTTTGCTTCCTCTTAAATAAATGTTCTTCCTGCTATTGTGAACTGCTGTGAATAAAGAAAAAAATCAAACTCCACGCTAATGAGAAAAAAATGTATACCTAGTTTTGTCAACTGCTTTAAGGAAGGGTGAATTTCCTAACACAGCAGGAGTTATGAACCAATTTCCCTTAGCTTCCTGTGGCAATTCCAGCCTACTTTGGTTTATAAGTCTTGATGAGTTGATCTCTTATGAACGTGTTAAATGCTGTCTTTGCATACATTCTATTAATGGCTGTTCATGAAAAATTACTATGCACAAATAATTTTTTTTTTTTCCAAAATGTATCTGATAGTGCTATTTTCCTCCAGAAAGGTCTTTACTGATGTAATTCAGAATAGCTAGCTACAGAATTAATAGTTATTAATGGCTTTAAGGCAAAAGATCTTGCACTTCACAAATTTCATATGGACACAGATTAGAACAGTGACGTTCAACAGTGCTAGGTTATATGGAGCTATCTTTATGCTGTATGGTTCAGAGGTCCAAAGGATATGTTGGGTCACCCTCTAGAAATCTCTTTTGCAAAGGTACTTGATCATAAGGGCTATTAAACTGCATGGTAAGACTAAAAGAGGGGCACTTCAGACATCCAGTGTTCCTTTTGAAATAATAATCAGAGACTTGAGAAGAGGGTGGTTCACTAGGAAGAGCTGTTGAATACTGATAATTGGTTGAAATAGTCTGGTAATATTTTGAATGCTCTACTTAAATGCGTTGGTCACAGCAGTTAGATGAATTAGTATTTTCCAGTTCATTTGAACAGTTGCAAATGTGGCTTTGGAGCAAATGCCAGGAGCTGGAATGAATTTTTTTGTTTTTATGTCTGTAGTACTGAACTGTCATTATCAAATGTGCTTAGTCGGGAATTTCTATGGAAACTTAATTTTCAAAACTAATAGGTATTATCACTTTTATTTAGACAAAAGCTGTTTTAACTTATTGCAGTGTTTGCCATTTCCTGTAAGGGAAGCACTCTGCCTCTGTACAACAGCTGGAGTTTGGGTGATCTCCCTGTTTGGTCACGTTTTATTTTCTAACATGCATCAAGAGCTAAGTGGAGCTGGGCTTGTCATGTCTTGTCTGGAGAAGGAAGGTTCAAGTCTGCCTCGGGTCACAGAGAAACAGAATGTAGTGATCTTAACTGAGACTGAAATAGATCTTTTACCACTGTCTCGACATACAGGTTGTTATGACTGGTAAGCTTTACTTACAAAAGATCCAGAAACTGATCAAAAGAGAATAAACATTGTGGCTTCAAAAAATTTATTATGGCAGAACCTTTTCAGTATCTATGCTATTATCAATTGGAATCTGTCTCTTTCTTTAATCAGTCCCAAGATTCAACATAGTTCACCTTAAATTGTTTTACTTCATTTACCAATTTAAAACAACTTTTAATAATCTCCTGCACAGTCAGTATCACAACATATAATTGTTCCTTTCTCCCTATCCTTTTATTAATTTCTGTGCAACTGGTGCCTGGCAGGAAAATTATCAACACAATTCTTAGTCTTTCAGCTTGCAAGACTGCTTTCTTAAAAATGTCTCACCAGCTGTTTGTAATGACAACCGCGTTGCTTTTTACTGTGATCCAAATTCAGTAATCATATGTTAAGTCTGGACGCTCTGCCCTGACCAGGAGAACCTTGTGAATAGCTTCTATATCCTCTTTGCACCAACTACTTTTGTCACTTGGTTGCCCTTCTTTCCTATTTGCTTTGTTCACTGCAATTAAACCGAAAGTGGTGTTTCTTCTATATGGTTGGTAGCACTAATCTTTCCATTGTTCCTTTCATTAGCAATAGCTTCTCTACAATAAAATTGCAGTGACCCATTCTTTCAGGCCTGGAACACCACAATGTGATTTGGAAGCAATTGCATTTCAATAGACTACAGGGACTCTTTGATCTAATTTTTTGGATGACCTAGAGTATTCAGTCATTCAGTTGTCTGTTATCTGCCATTGCCTGCAGAGTGGACTCTTGAGAGAGTCTATATGAATTGGTTTGTTAGACAGAATGACCTTAACACTGGAAAGGAGCAAGAATTTGTTGCTTCAGTATCATCTATTAAGATATGTGTGCATCTAACATTTTAACAGTTTAGATGACACTAAGGCCTCACATTTTCATGCTGAATTGTTGATTGGAAACCAAATGTTTCCATCCATCAAGATAATTTTCTCGATGGGTCAAAAGGCAAACTTGGATCCATGCTCTTTATCTGGTGTAAATTAAGTTAGCATTTTAGGATAATGCATGCAGATTTGCTTTGAGTAATATCTCTTGCCTTTTCATCACCCAAATATTTAGGTACTTTGATTGTCAACAGGAAAATTCCTTTTTTTTTCCCCGCCCTTTTTTCTTTATTCAGCATATGCCTTGCTTGCTGTACCATGTTTTTCCAGTCTTTTTGATGAAATTAACTTGTATGCAGGAAATCTTGTTCAAATATTTCTACATGCCTGCTTCACCATTGGCCATTAAGTAACAGCATCATGCATACCTAATAATAAAGTGTGTCACATTTAGTAAAATTCAGGCTTATGTTCTACATCACACAGATTTGCTCAGTTTATAAATGCTCAAAAAATCGTACTTTATATACCTTCAAAAAAAAAAATATTCTGGGCTGTCTGGAGAGAAGAAAATATTAAAACAACTATGATAACTTTTATTTTTAATTTTCATATATTTTGCTAATACATTCTTACTCTCAGGGCTGTTTCTGTTCAACTCTTTTAACTTTGGGTCAGTGAGTTCATTTACATTTGTAAATACAAAAGCAGTTTGTTCTTCTGGCATCATTTTAATGTGGCCCAAATAGAAAATTGGGTAAAATTTTCAACTCCTTTCTTCACTGATATTCATTATCACTTTTAATAAAACTCCTGTGTATGTCAAGCATGACTTTTTGGAGTTTCCTTCAATTCCTTGTGCTATCCCAGTGCGTACATCCAGGCTACTGGTTTGTCTTGCCACTTCATCTCACTTTCAATTCAAACTGCTCATTCTGCCCGAAATTATATATATTTTTTTCCTGAAGTCCTGACTTAATTCTTACTTATTCAGATTAAAATTTGATTCCCACTATTGTTCAGTTAATATCAAATTACCTGTAATTGCCTTTAGTTATATAACTGGAACGCAGACTATGCCAAACACTCATAATAAAGGGGTTTTCTGAAGGAGATAGTGTAGGCCACTGTTAGGATAAGAAAATCTTTTAGGAAGTATTCAATATGGCCATTTGTGTATTCTCCTTGCCCATCCTTTTAATCATGACATTCTCTCTCCTGTTTTAAAAACAGATATTAGTGTCAGGTTCACCATCTTTAAACCCACTTCAGGATGACATTGTTCCTAAAAGCTTTACTACTCTCTGTGGTTTGATTGTCTCTTTTTATATACTTTTTCTCTCTGTTCTGTCTCTTGTATGGCAAGTTGTTTGCAGCACACACTAAACTGGGGCAGAATACAACTCAAGTTGTCTCAAGAACATAATCTGACTACTGACATTCTTGAAAGTAATTTAAACATGTATTTCTAGGATCAGAAGTAATGTTCCCTTGTGAACAAGACCTTTCTCTGAAAGAGTCAAGGAAGTTTATAGCATACTCCAGTGCACAAGACATAGAAAATATTGATCATAATGAATGAGTTGGTTTTTATGTAACATTTGTGGGAGTGTTGCAGCTGTTTGGTGGAGAAGTCATGTATTAGGCAAACACAAAGCATGTGCCCCCTAAAGAAATATATATACAACATGAAGGAATTCTCTTAGCTTTACATTATAATCAATTTAATGGAACAATAAAAGTCCCATAAAATACATAATTTTATTGCTTAAGCCAAATTCAACCCTAAACAAGTGCGCCAGTGTGGAGACCTGACAGACTGCTTCTGCTTATACTAGAGGAGAATATGTGCCATTCTGCCCTTTTATTTATGTGCAGCAATTAGAAGAGTGGAGTCAGCTTCATGCACTAGCCAGTGCCCTCCTTTGTTTTTGGTAAGATGTGATTGAATCTTTCATTATAAGGGGCCTCTTGTCTCAAATTCTGTTGTTTGTTAGTGTCTAGTCAAGGGAAGAGAAAGAGGAGGGAAGGATGAATCATGTTACACTCACTGAGCTGTCAGAGGAGTCTACGACTGGAGAAAGGGTTAGATGTAGTAGTGAGAGATAAACAGGAGATGTATTAATTCAATGGTAGTTGTGTGTACATGTCTGAGGGTAGGACTTGCTCAAAGTATCAAAGAAGCCACAAAATTAAAGCTTCTTAATGTAGTCTGGCCACCTAAGAGGCAGGCAGGCAAGGCAACTCATGTACCCATTCTTTGTAGTCATTTAATTGCACCCTGTATTAGCATTATTTAAGTTCATGCTAACAACAGTCTCTTATTCCTAGAGCTCACACTTTAAGTCCAATTAAGTATGTTGAGACAAATCCCAAGGTTCTTATTCAGACAAACTGCCGTCAAAATCAGTGAGCCAGGCTGCTGGTGAAAGTACAAAACAATTGCTGCTTATAAGGAAGTTCCTTTAGAAAACTACAGCTGTAAAAATAGGACAAAATTTGGCCCAGTAGGACCTCGAAAAGAAACCAAGCACAAAAATGACAATTTGACTTATTCTCAAAACTATTTTTAGGCCTTCCACAAGTCAATATGCAAATCTGTACTTTTGC